TGTGAATGCACGTAGGTAATATGTTGTGCCAGTCTAAGATCGTGCTCCCTAAAATCAAAAGTAAGATGTTATCAAATGGCAAAATTAATCCATATAAAAATAGAACATGAGCCTACCTATCAGGCTTGTCCCGGATGAGCCATAAAAGATCAAAACGAGAAAGAAGGGCTGCTGGTAGATCGATATTTTGTTCTACCGTTCTATTTGGATTGTAACGACCGTATGCAGGGTTGGCTGCAGCCAATATTGCAACACGAGCATTTAGTGTCGTAAGAATTCCAGCCTTTGCTATACTAATAGTTTGTTGTTCCATAACTTCATGAATTGCTGTGCTGAAGAGTAATAAGATAATAAATAAATAAACGCCGACCAACAACAAGGACGGACCAGGAAGAAATTCAGCTTACCGATCAAAATCAGTCATTTTATCGAATTCATCGATGCAGCATACGCCTTGATCAGCAAGCACGAGAGCGCCACCCTCCAGTGCCATTTCACCTAGAAATTAGTAACGCTATAAAAATATTACCTGTCAAAGGGTCCTTAGTGACTGAAGCCGTCAATCCTACACCAGAGCTACCTCGTCCGGTAGTGTATTGAGATCGCGGAGCTAGCCGATCTACAAAGCCTAGCATCTGAGACTTCGCGACACCAGGATCCCCCATGAGACAAATATTTATATTTCCTCTTATTCTCATCCCATGCCCGCTATTTTTGAAGGTGGACGAATTATCGTTTTGCTCATTCGAATCAAGTGATGGTTCTGTTCGCAATTCTACACCACCGACCAGTAGAAGAAGAAGTGCCTTTTTTACATCCTCATGGCCATAGATCTCTGGAGCAATAGACGAGGCCATCAGCGAGTATGCATCCGGATCTACCAAAACAATCGAAATTAGAATTGAAAAATAAACACGACACCTTTAAGACGTTCAACCTCTTCATCCGAAAACGCTATTTCTGAGAGGGATTCAGCTGTTGATGGATCAAGCTCATGCGCGTCGGTTTTACTCAATATTACCAAGTGATGTGCCTCAACATAGGTGTCTGCGAGTAATGTTGTAACTGCCATCGAAAGTGCCTGTGAAATACGAGCTCCAGGACTATGAGCTGACGCAATGCTAGGTAAAAAGACACCGGTGACCAAAATGTGATCTCCAGGTTGAGTACATCTCGTATTTTCTCCACGAAGATAGATCGTCAATCCGCGCGGAATATTTCCAACAGGGACCTATGTGACTAATAAATGACACAAAATTACTTGATCAGAGAGCTCCTGGATACGTACCTCCTGAAATTTGATAAATTTAGATCCCCTGGTTTGCAAATGTAGCCTTCCTCCCCCACCAGCAGTTGCCGACTTGCAAGCTGCACTTGAACAGACAGACAAAGGCATGAACGTTGGGTTCATGACCTCCTGATTAAAAAGAAGTTTATGTGAAGGCAAAATGAGCTTACTTGATAGGTTTCAGCTCCACATTTATCACATGTGTAAGTTGCTACACGAATAAGAGGTTTGACCTCAGTAGCTCTGATTACGACTCCGCGTACACGAATAAGGCGTCCTATACTGCTAGCGAGGACGGATCGAACGCTGATTGGCTTGCAAGAGGATCGTCCGGAGAAATATACCTCACTACACAGTTAAGATTAATTATATTATGGTCAAATAATAGACAAAATATTTAAACAACATACAATCGACGAAGCAATTCGGGAGG